ATTAGAATTTCAAATCCATTAATGTTCTTCGTAAGTTGTAAGTCGTCAATTTCCATCCTTATGTCAACATATTGTGTTAATCATACCGTGTCTGGTACATGGCTAATAAAATTTATAAGCGAGAAAAATAATGTATCAAAATTGCGCGATTAGTGAAAATTATTGTACTATTTATTTGCCTATTTATAATTATTAATTTTATTTATTTCACTGAGAACTTAAAAGTAAAATATCATGGAGTTTAGTTAACGCATGAAAGCATAGCGTTTTCGAACAAAGTGGATTCGTAATACTATAAGAGATATAATGCGCCAGCTTGGAAATGAATGACTCAAGTCAAAGCACACACAAAAGTACATAAAATGCGAGATAAGTTTGTTAAAAATTGAATTTATTGATAAACGATAAGTAAAACGAAATGGAGTTGGTTAATCAGCCTGTAGTAATTGATAACGTGAGAAAGCAATTATTTTGTATAACGCATAATTGGTCGTTAATGGGACATTTGTCTGGTTCAGGGTTACGGTATTATCAAGGCCGGATTTGCTGGAGATTCTGTTCCTAAATGTCGGTTTCCTAATTAGTGAGTGGTTAAAAATACGAGATAACGAAGTTGATAAGCAGTTTGTGAAGGTTTGAGCATTTTTTGAGCAGTGTGGGCCGTCCAAAGCACGTTCGAGTGATGGCCGGAGCTTTCGAGGGTGACCTTCTCATCGGTCCCAAGGCGGAAGAGCACAGGGGCCTGTTGGCCATCAAGTACCCGATGGAACATGGCATCGTCACAAATTGGAACGACATGGAGAGAATTTGGCAATACGTGTACAGCAAAGATCAGCTGCAAACATTTGCTGAAGAGGTAAAAAGAACAAGAAAGGAACATAAGTCGGTCATAATTTTGAAATATTTGTTCTCTGCAGCCCGTTCCCCTTACGGAAGCGCCCCTCAATCCGCGCAGGAACAGGGAAAAGTCGGCCGAGATATTTTTCGAAACGCTGAACGCTCCAGCCTTATTTTTGTCGATGCAGGCAGTTCTTAAATTGTAAGTAAAAATTGGTGATTAAGTAGAGAATGTGCTGCAAGTTGCAGCCTGCAACTAATGAAGTTATTATTCTTGGTAGATAAGATAAGCAAATGAGAGAACGACGGATGTTGCATTAGTCGCCGGAGATGGGGTGACCTATTACGAAGGTTTCGCCCTGCCACACAGCATCACGAGGGTGGATTTAGTTGGGCGAGATGTGACGAGATATCTAAGGTTGGTTTATCTCGTATTGATAAGGTTTTGATACATTTTATTCATTAACTTTGCTACTATTCTACGTAAGGAAGGAATACATAGAATAGAACATCGTCAGAGTATGAAATAGTAAGAATGATTGACAAGGTTTCGATATATTTTAATTGATTTTGATCATTTAAACCAGAGTTTGAAGATATGTAAATTGAAAAAGTATACTTATGCATGCCTTCAATATTCATACAGAATTGCTATATCGGATAACTTATATTTTGTTCATATATTTTCCTGCACAGGTTTCTTCTACGAAAGGAAGGAATCAATTTTAGGACGTCGTCAGAGTTCGAAATTGTGAGAACGATTAAGGAGCGAGAGTGTTACTTATCTGTGAATCCATCCAAGGACTTTGACCCGGATGCGGATAAGCGAATTTACAGGTTGTCAGACGGTACTCAGCTTGATGTGAGGACAATTTTGTTATAACTTCAGTAATAAGGAATTGGAATGAATGTCTATTTTGTCGACAGATTGGCCAAGCTCGCTTCCTAGCTCCGGAAGTCCTTTTTCGACCAGGTTTGATAAGAGAAGAGTGTGAAGCTATGCATGAAGTTTTGCTGTTTTCCATACAAAAGTCGGACCCGGATTTGAGGAAAATTCTCTTTCAAAACATTGTGCTATCCGGTGGCTAGACGTTATTTAAAGTAATTGCTAATTAACAAATATTCACTTTCGACAATTAGTACATAAAGTACGTAATTTATACACTGATTTCTGCTCCCCAATAACGCTTGTACTCGACCTGGATCGGTGGCTCGATATTGGCGTCGTTGGACACGCTCAAGAAAATGTGGGTTTCGAAAAGGGAATTTGAAGAAGAAGAAGGCCAACGCGTTATTCACCGAAAAACATTTTGATTTTGGATCTTTGTTTTATAAACTGTTTGTACATGTAGTTCTCTTTATTTATCATTTTAAATTGTATTGTATTGTATTGTAAACTTTATTCAACTATCAACAAATATCAGCTAATATAAGCTACTATTTAATACGTTACTTATATATTCTTACAGCAGCTAATCATTTTATACAAACAATAAAACTGTACATTATCACAATTATAAAAAGCAGCAAACATTACAAGAAAAGGAGGAATATTGGAATATCTATAAAATAAGTTAATATTTATGTTACATATTTATCCATATTGGGGTACAAAATCAATCATACATTGTTGTTGCTAGAGTATTGCGGAGGCTATCTTCACACCAACTTTGTAAATGTGATAAAGTTTACAAAGATTGATGTGAATTTCCTCATTGTAGAAAAAATAGCCAAGCCAAAGACAACAAGAAAGTGGTGGCAACCTGTTGGACATGAGGGTCATTTAGGAACTAAGTACGTGGTACAATATTTACATAATTATTAATTATCTGCGTAAATATATTCATAGGCTATCTTTATGCATATATTTACATATCCTGCTACACATAGAATAGATATCATTAGCCTCAATATTCTTCCGCCATCATCAGAACAACGAGCGACGACCAGCCGGTGAAGGGTCGGCAACCCTTCCCTTTCCCTGTCGCGTCGTCGTACTGCTCCCAAACGTAGCCCGTCTTGTGGTACTGACTGACCACGTTATTGACCACGTTCTCCCGTAACTTGTGATACTTCTCCTTCGCCAAGACGGCCCCACTTCCGCCCATTTTCGAGTAGTCATGCAGGGCTTTGAGCGTGAGGAAGTTGACGTTGATCCAGACGGGGCCTCGCCAGTAGGGCGGGTCATGCTCCGTGTTCCGCTTGTTGTACAGGGGCGCATTGGCGGCCAGGGAACGAAGCCCGTACGGGGTCCAGAGCAATTTGGGGTTATCCAACTTGTCCAGGGTGGCCGTGAAGGTGGGCGAGTCGGGTTTCAAAATCCCCAAAATCAAGGGGAACAAGCTGACGTAGCCGAACATGTTGACAAAACCGAGTTCCGGTGGTTGCACGGCGTGCCGAACCTTTTCTTGAGGTTGGACCGGACGTTGCCCGCTTTTCGGGGGAATGACGGGTGCTTGTTTTAGTACGACTTTATCTGAATGGTTTCCATAATCGGTATAAGCTCCGAGTTTCGGTGACCAGTGGAGCTTGTCGAGGAGGTCTTGATCCGTGAGCTTTTCATATGTGTAGCGAAACCGGGTGGCGTCATAGTCCAAAAGTTCGGCCAGCTCGCCCATCAGTTTAGAACAGAGAGACATCCAACAGCGGAGGTCCAAGTGGCGCTCGTCCTCGGTGGGGTGGGACGCTCGGGGGTAATCGTCCAACCCGGAGGCTAACGTTTTGGGATTGAGTTCCCGCAGGGTGGAAGCATTTCGACCTCGCCAGCTAAAAAGGAAGATGAGTGGATTAGTTACAATGATAAAATTGTAGAGGTGGCTTAAATACTTTGTCGAAATGTGTACTATTTTGAGCTCAGTTCTTCCCAGCGTTTGGATTACCGGGAATGTTACACCCACAAAAAGACGAAAATGTATGTGGAGAAGGGAGCAGTCATACGAAAATACGGGTTTTGCGAAGGAACTAACTTTTTCTCACGGTCAAAATATATACACTATTTAACGATTAAAAAAACAGTAATTTGTCAAGGATGAAAAGTTAATTCACAGCAAAAGACAATTCGGAACATCATTCTTTCAATGTAGTTTTAAGAAATACTAAACTGATAATAATCCCAGTGCTTTATAACAATAAATCAATTAATCAATTATTTAAATTACGTTAATTACATTTCAGAACGAATCTGTATGATTGTAAAGGCGGAGGCTACATTAATCGAACTTAATAAATAACTATCTATAACCTTTAATTAACACAATTATCTAAATTCATAGCTTTTTTTAATCAATCTTACACGTAACAAAATTGTGTAGCAATGTTGCGAATTTTGTTTAAGTAAGAACCAAAATTGTTAATCATACTTGGTTTAGTAGCCTCGTAATTTATGTTATGAATTTGAAACCAATTTGTATTAACTGATATTTGTGGACATATTAATAAAGGTTTACAATCAGTGTTGTAGTAGTTAACTACACTTTCTAGTTAACTCTAGTACTTAACTACTTACTACAACTACTATTTTGCAAAAAGTAGTTGTAGTTAAGATTCAACTGTCTACTTTGCCAAAGTAATTGATACAAAGTAGTTTAACTACTTTTTTAGATGGTGTAGTGTAGTTGACCAACAATACCCTAACTACGTTTCAAATACTTTTTAACTACCTTTCTAAATGGATCATGGAAGGAAGGGGTATCTCATTTACATTAAATTAATCTCCCAGAAGTGGGGAATTGTTTGAAGCACTTGGAATTTTGAAGTGCAAATCGACATTGTCGAATGAACCCTAGAGATTACATGGCCTGATTGAATCTAAAGTAAAAATCTGTTGTAAATAATTTCATTATTTTTTCATGATTCTAATATTTGGTTAAAAAAGTAGTTAAGAAGTAGTTGGTAGTTATTAGTTAAAATAAGATGTAGTTGAAAATGTAGTTAGAATTCAACTACATGGAATCAAAGTAGTTGTAGTTCAACTACTTTTCTGAGTAGTTGTACAACACTGGGTTTACTTGACTTGACTTAATCTCTTCACAAAACATGCATTTTCGACGGACTGTTGCCTTCTTCACGCAGATTATCATCTTTTTGTGGGTGCAACATCCCCGGAAATCCAAACACAGGGAATAATCTCAGCACAAAATACTAACAAAGCATTTAGCCCACCCTGATAAAATATAAACATATCTAACTAATCAATTCATTAACCGACCGATAAGTGAAGGGCGTCTCTCCCATCTGGGTCTTATTCAGCCACTGGTACCAGGTCGACAAGCGGGGCCACATTCGCTGCAAGGTGGCCTTATGATTGATCAGGAGCCATTCGCGGTGGCGTTGGATGAGGTCGAACACCGCCATGATGAGCGTGGGAGGATTGGCGACGTCGTTCCGTTGGACGACAAACTCCTCCGGGACTCGGGACAAGGCCTCGTCGCCAAGAATCTGTTCTCGGGGGATCCAGCCTTCCGTGTTCATCATGTCGAGCCAGTGGGAAATGATGTCGATGGAGATTTCAGGGTTCCACTTGTTGATGAGGAGGAGATGGAAGCCCTCGTCCCAGAGGAACCCGCGGGGGAAGAAGCTTCTCGAGGGGACGGCCGTGTACAGACTGGACGTCCAGTACGGCACAGGGGCAGAGTTGTAAGGCGACTGGACTTTCGAATGGCCGTGGAAGTAACCAATCCCTCCGATGAGGTTGCTAAGGGCAGCTTTGGCAAAGTGAATCGAGGTTTTATTAAAGCCTTTCTTCTCCAGGTGAAAGGTCGTCTCGAACTTGTCGGAAAATCGGTCCCTGAAAGAAGAAGGATTTAAACGAGGTTAAATTATTAGTTTGATAAGAATCGTAATAATTATGTTTATAGTGTTTCACGTGCTGATAACCACTTGCAAGAAATAACGGTAATAAAGTAGTTTATTGCAGGTAAATATTTTGATCTGCGTGAAATGCACGGCGCAAGAAACGACGCCCCACCGCTGTAAATAATTCATACGGCGCGTGGCTAGATGCATCATATTTCTTGTAGTTTCATGCACCCTGAATTACTTGACAGGGCAAGAAATGTAGCAAACCAGCAAGAAACGAAACACTGTTGAGTATTAATTTACCTGTACGATTGCAACATTTCGCTGTACATGTCCCCCGATAAAAGTTTCTTGGAAGGGACGACCCCGCTTTCAGACTCGTATACAATGTCCATACTAAAGTGACCCTTGACGTGAACCTGCAATAAGTAAAAGGTCACATTAACATTTATCTCACTGGACTAGATAAGTATGTATGTATTCGCATGACAAGTATCAAGGGTGGCCGAAAAGTATTGTTTGTTTATTAAGTTGTCGCTAATCATCCTGGACACGTTTGGCAGAGATGTTTGCATCCGAAGAGGAGAAACGCGCAGTGGATTTGGAACGTGTAAAATTTGCTGACTTTAAGGTTTCTGTATTATTAGTAATAATTTTAAAACAAACGTTCCCATTGGGAGATCGTGTCCTTCGCAAATTTCATACTAATTGCATTTGTAATGAATTGACACAAATTTGGTTAAAATTGGAGAGCATACAATGCAAAACCTCAATTTAACAAAAACGTATCTTGAAATTTCAGCAAAGTTTCTTGTACTTTTCAAGCCTCTGGGAAAAATAATTAATGATTTATAATATTTCCCGTCCGGATGACGATCACAAATTGTGATTCACAATCGAGCTTGGTTATAAAACAATAAAGTTTTTCTCATTTGCACATCCGTAATGTCCTTAAACCATAATTCTCCTCATCCTGTACTTCTGTTCTTGCAGAAAACAAAGTACGTCAATAAGTAATCGTTAGATTAATACTGCAGGAGTGGGCAATATACTTTGGTCGTAAGATACAAGCTACAAGATGAACTTACTTTCTAGGATAAGATATAAGATACATCTTGTTCAAGATACAAGATACTTTCTTAAAAATTGATTAGTCAAGAACAGGATACAAGATATGTATCTTAAGATACTTTTATATTAGATAAGATACTTTATTTTTTTTAGCCTGGTACTCATGCTCAATTAGTAATGTTTAATAATTTAAACGAAAATCTAGTTAATGCAAAATTTAAAATCATTCTGTTATCAATTAACAAATTTTGTTGCCTATGTTTAAACTTCGAAAGATTTTTAAATTTCGAGAAACTAGACCTCTACCTACCTAACATGCGTATATTTTTAAGAAGTTCATAGTATTTTTACAATATTCTCTGCTTATTCAAACTAAACCCTATATTATCTATACATTAGTTAAGCGTAGGTACACAGCATGCAATATGCAATGTATGTTTATGTATGTACGAGTACTTATATATATGAATATATGTACATATGTATGCATTGCATGTATAGGTTTGTTACTAATTAGCAAAACATAAAGTAAAAATTCACCAAACTCTGGTTACGACAAATTCATGGTAAAATTGACTGACAGTAGTAAGAAATTGACTGAATTTGACATAATTTAGAAAAAAGTATCTTGCATCTTGTCAACTATCTTAAGATACTTTTCTTCCAGGCATATCTAGATAAGATACTTACACAAGATACTATTCGATTGTCTAAAAGATATAAGATACAAGATACGTCCCTGATCAGGCGAGCAAGATACAAGACAAAGATACTATCGTTTATCTTGTATCTTGACAAAGTATTCCGTATTACAGTAATACGGAATAGATAAATGTAAGGTCATGTTATGTAGTTAAGTTAATTCTTTACTCATTATATCTTTTAGTGTTACTTGATGTAAACCAGTCATTAAATTGTACTGATCAAGGAATAACGTGAATAAATGACTATTAATCAATCAATCAGTCAGCCACCCTGCTGATTAATAAATACGCACCTGATAAACAAGAAAGTTTTGAGGGTTCGAGTCTGGCTGATTCCTATTTTTGAGGAAGAACAACCACTGCTTTTCGGAAACCGAGGTGGTCGCCATGCTCGAGAGCACGGTGTTTGAAGCGGCAGTCATGGAATCCAGACTTGTTTGGATAAATGAAGACTTTAAAACGTTATTGTTGTTGATGAACCTGTACAAAAAATGAGGATTTAATATAGATAAGTCATAGTTGTTATCATGTTTGTTTAAAAAGTGGGAATTACTTTATCGTGAACTTTCCCAACTCGGGCGTGTAACCTTCGACGGATTTGAGAATGTCGCCGTAATATTCGGGAACGAGATTCCCACCCATGCCGGCTTCCAAAGCGACGTAGTAGAGGAGCACGACTTCCTCCTTCGTGGTCGACTGGGGATGATTTGTAGTCGCCTAATAGACAGAAGATTGGTTAATTCGTCATCGGAATAATGATACATACACGAATGAAATATATAACTAATTCATTTAATTAATTAACGTAGGACTCGATAATTCATCGTTAAAGACAGCAAATATTTAATATTTCTCCAATGTATTTTGAAATTCTGAATGATGTACTTGTTGAGCAGACCTTTCCCAATTAAAAAAAATAAACTATAAATTTCGACACTTTTTGAAGGAGACCTCAACTTTAAGAAGCCTTCAGATAAATTGGACCTCATCGAAACTGGCTTAAAAACTCAGCACCATTCAATTAATCAACTCACTGACTACAAATTTGTCGTCCAGAGTTTTAAAATAAGTTCCCAGAGCGGGGAAATGATTAAAAATGTGTTGATTTTGACGATGAGTCGTCAATTCCTACATTAAAATTTCCATTTAATACATATGTAAGTAGGTATTTACTTTGTTTTGACAATGAGTTATCGAATTCTACGTTAACTAGTCAATATTTAAAAACTTCTGATTTTTACCAGAGGTTGAACTTCGATTCGTGACGTCCAATCGCCACCTTTCTTCCCGTGATGAGCTTTAACGAAAGACGTTGTCAATTTCATGTGATGATCAATGATTTCCTGAACCCCAAAGTTTACGCCGTCATGCTCAACCCAGCCGTACTTCGTTAGGCCGTCACCTTGTTCGCACAAGTGCCTAAAATTAGAAGGAAATTACGTGTTTATAAAACGGAATTGAATTTGCATTGTTGTGGATAAAGTGAAATTACCGTAAGTTGGGTTCTCCTGGCCTGACTAGAGAAGGGAGGAGCCACATGAACCCAGTGAGCAAGGACTTTGGACTTCGATGCTTCATCCCAAAGTAGACGCCGGGTCGATAAGACCCCCAAAACCGTTCGGGAATATCAAGCCCTGCACGGACGACTACCTGCGAAAAGTAGCGAGTACCAAAATCAAGTGAGAGTATAGATACAAAATTAGTACTTTCTGTAGAGACGTAAATATTTACTTAAAATTAGACAGATTACTTAACTTATTAATAATAAGACACTTTACGTCAACCTTCGTAATTTCGTGACCACGTAAGTTTACGAAGATCAACTTACGAACCAGTAACATGGCTTTTATCTTTGTAAGTTTTTGTAATAAGTCAAAATTATCTACGCGATGTTCCTATGTTTCGTTAGTTTACGAAATTACGAAGACTGACGTGAAATGCTTCATTAGTTAGCTAATTATTTAAGTGATTAGAATACAAATAATTAACTTTGTTTGGCCATGGATTGAATACCAGTTTGTAATTAACTAACTAATACTTATCGACACACTTGAACAAAGAACAACAAACAGACAAACAAATAGAATACCTTATCTACTTGCAGAGGAGTTGAAATTCTCGTCTCTAAATATCCAAGATAACCTTAATACGCTACAAATGCTACAATTGTGCTTATCCCGCAGGTGGAAAGTAGTCTGTAAAACAAACATTTTAATTAATACATGACGACATTACAAACATACATAATCATATTAAAACCTGAAAACATTCCATCAAAGCAAATACATATCTTTCTCACTTGTTAAACGTGAACGATTTCTGGCGTTTATGTAGTAGCACCGCCGTGTCGCCACCGCCGTTTCGATACCCGGGACAATCTGTCGACAAAATAGTAATTCATTGTTGTTCTTTATTACTGAATATATAACAATATTGTCCTTACATCAAGCTGACTACCGTCTGGTAGCTTGTAAATTCGCTTATCCGCATCCGGGTCAGAGTCCTTGGATGGATTCGCAGATAGGTAACACTCTCGCTCCTTAATCGTCCGTACTATTTCAAACTCTGACGATGTCCTAAAATTGATTCCTTCCTTGCGTAGAAGAAACCTGTACAGCAAAATATATGAACAAAATATAAGTTATCTGATACAGCAATTCTGTATGAATATTGAAGGCCTGCATAAGTATACTTTTTCAATTAACATATCTTCAAACTCTGGTTGAAATGATCAAAATCAATAAAACTAAATCAAAACCTAGTCAACCATTCTTACTGTTTCAAACTCTCACGTTGTTCTACGTATTCCTTCCTTACGTAGAATGGTAGCAATATTAATGAATAGAATATATCAAAACCTTATCAATACGAGATCTGATAGCAATTCTGTAGGAATATTGGAGGCCTGCATTACATAAGTATACTTTTTCAATGAACATATCTTCAAACTCTGGTTGAAATGATCAAAATCAATATAACTATATCAAAACCTTGTTAATCATTCTTACTATTCAAACTCTCACAAAATTCTAAGACTTGTTCGTTCATTACGTAGAATAGTAGCAATATTAATGAATAGAATATATCAAAACCTTATCAATACGAGATAAACCAACCTCAGATATCTCGTCACATCTCGCCCAGCTAAATCCACCCTCATGATGCTGTGTGGCAGGGCGAAACCTTCGTAAATAGGCACTGCATGGGTCACACCATCTCCGGCGTCCAGCACCACGCCCGTCGTCCTCCCAGTTGCATATCTACAAAGAACAATTATATTATTAATTATGGGACGAAATCAAATGGTTAAATGATAGTTAAATTAAATGATTAATAAAATAATTATCACTCAAAATGAAGATCGTATGCTCTCTGATTTTTAGCAAAACAGTGTGAATCAATCGCAAATTTGATTAATACGAAATTTGCAAACTACACCATCTACCAATAGACACTTTTGGCAGAGATATTTGCATCCAAAGAGGAGGAAACGACCAGTAAAGTTGAAAGGTGTAAAACTTATCAACTTTAGGGCGCAGTTTCTCCTCTTTCGATGCAAATACCGCTGGTAACCGTGCCCATTGTCTTTTGCAAAGTTCACATTAATTAAACTTATGATCGATTATTCCTCAAAATCTGTGACCATATGTTGCGAGACCTCGATTATCAATTCTTCAAGAATTAAGTTAACACTTATTCTTACAAGCTTAGAACTGCCTGCATCGACAAAAATAAGGCAGGAGCGTTCAGCGTTTCAAAAAAGATCTCGGCCGACTTCTCCCTGTTCCTGCGCGGATTGAGGGGCGCTTCCGTGAGGAGAACGGGGTGCTGGGAACAAATAATTCACAATTATGACCCATTTATGTTCCTTTTCTTGTTCTTTTTACCTCTTCAGCAAATGTTTGCAGCTGATCTTTGCTGTACACATATTGCCAAATTCTCTCCATATCGTTCCAATCCGTGACGATGCCGTGTTCCATCGGGTACTTGATGGCCAACAGGCCCCTGTGCTCTTCCGCCTTGGGACCGATGAAAAGGTCACCCTCCAAAGCTCCGGCCATCACTCGAACGTGCTTTGGACGGCCCACACTGCTCAAAAAATGCTCAAACCTTCACAAACTGCTTATCAACTTCGTTATCTCGTATTTTTAACCACTCACTAATTAGGAAACCGACATTTAGGAACGGAATCTCCAGCAAATCCGGCCTTGATAATACCGGAACCCTGAACCAGACAAATCTCGCATTAACGACCAATTAAACCTTTTGCAAATTGATTTCTTTCTCACATTATCAATCACTACAGGCTGATTTACCAACTCCATTTCGTTTTACTTATCGTTTATCAATAAATTCAATTTTTAACCAACTTTTCTCGCATTTTACGTACTTGTCACAACGAACAACTTTTCTGTGTGCTGTGACTTGACTCATACATTTCCAAGCTGCCGCATTAAATCTCTCATAGTACGAATGCACTTTGTTCGAAAACGCTTAGCTTTCATGCATTTTGGTCATGGAAAATTGTCCAACTTTTTGGAAATTTTGAGTGGCTGGCTTCAGGTCAGTTGAAAATAAAAACGAGACAGTGGTGAGGATGGAGTCTAGACACATTCTCCTCCACCTCCACCACCACCATGCCAACTCTTACGGGAGGTCAAGAAAATAAGTTGGAGAAACTGAGTTTTCTTCTACATGACCTCTTCAACATTGCAGAGGCGAGCTTTCCTCGGCCGACGCTTTCCAATTTCGGCTCAGTCGCGCTTCCTCCTTCCACTGAATACTACGTATCGACTATTACTCTCAATATTTTCAAAAATAGTGAAAAAATGGCTCAGAGGAAGTCGTTTGTTCCCATTTTAGAGACGATTGTAGGAGGTGAATCCCCCCCGGAGACGCCGCCTCAAGAACCCGTCGCGCAGTCCTCACGAAACCCACCCCCAGCACCATCTGAGAAAGTGAAGGTAAAAATAAGGCTATAGAGTTCAGCGTTTCTAAAATATTTCCGCAGACTTCTGCCTTTTCCTGCCCGGATTGAGGGGCACTTCCGTGAGGAGGGTTTAGAAATCAAAATTATGACCATTTTATTTTTTATTTTCCAGCTGGAGGAGAAGAAACCTGATGGGAAAAAAAGGGGCCGAAAGAGGATCAGGATGAACCAGATGTTTATCAAACTCGTCTTATCGCCAACCTGGAGTTAACGGCAGAACATTTGTAGGCATAGTATTATTCCTTCCTTAAAGTAAATTAAGTGACTAAATTTTTTCTGCGTTTTTAGTCTGCTGGTGAAGAAAAGACCTGGCAAGAGAGCCTCATCCATTGGAGGAAAGTGTCACGAAGCACCAATACCAATTAAGAAAACCAGGCGAAGGTCGTTGCCTCCCCGAGTCACGGAAGAAATGGCCAATGTGAGTGAATGTTGTATAAAAATTCAGTTGCATTTTAACATGCAAATTAAATACTAATGTTTCGTCCACAGGCAACATTTGTTGTGACGGAACTGCCGTCTTACTTGAAGGCTACAGCGAGCTCCAGCGCTAAAAAAAAGTAAGTCGTCAATTAAATAGGTTTAATTATCTCGATTTTATGCTTCCTTCATTAAATTAATTATTTTTTTAGCAGCCGGTCAAAGGCAAAGAAGCGAAGGAGAAGAAGGAGAAGAAACGTCCTGCATTCAAGTAATTTTGCTGTTAAAATATGTGTTATTATAAATTATTAGAATTTTCAAATCCATTAATGTTCTTCGTAAGTTGTAAGTCGTCAATTTCCATCCTTATGTCAACATATTGTGTTAATCATACCGTGTCTGGTACATGGCTAATAAAATTTATAAGCGAGAAAAATAATGTATCAAAATTGCGCGATTAGTGAAAATTATTGTACTATTTATTTGCCTATTTATAATTATTAATTTTATTTATTTCACTGAGAACTTAAAAGTAAAATATCATGGAGTTTAGTTAACGCATGAAAGCATAGCGTTTTCGAACAAAGTGGATTCGTACATACTATAAGAGATATAATGCGCCAGCTTGGAAATGAATGACTCAAGTCAAAGCACACACAAAAGTACATAAAATGCGAGATAAGTTTGTTAAAAATTGAATTTATTGATAAACGATAAGTAAAACGAAATGGAGTTGGTTAATCAGCCTGTAGTAATTGATAACGTGAGAAAGCAATTATTTTGTATAACGCATAATTGGTCGTTAATGGGACATTTGTCTGGTTCAGGGTTACGGTATTATCAAGGCCGGATTTGCTGGAGATTCTGTTCCTAAATGTCGGTTTCCTAATTAGTGAGTGGTTAAAAATACGAGATAACGAAGTTGATAAGCAGTTTGTGAAGGTTTGAGCATTTTTTGAGCAGTGTGGGCCGTCCAAAGCACGTTCGAGTGATGGCCGGAGCTTTCGAGGGTGACCTTCTCATCGGTCCCAAGGCGGAAGAGCACAGGGGCCTGTTGGCCATCAAGTACCCGATGGAACATGGCATCGTCACAAATTGGAACGACATGGAGAGAATTTGGCAATACGTGTACAGCAAAGATCAGCTGCAAACATTTGCTGAAGAGGTAAAAAGAACAAGAAAGGAACATAAGTCGGTCATAATTTTGAAATATTTGTTCTCTGCAGCCCGTTCCCCTTACGGAAGCGCCCCTCAATCCGCGCAGGAACAGGGAAAAGTCGGCCGAGATATTTTTCGAAACGCTGAACGCTCCAGCCTTATTTTTGTCGATGCAGGCAGTTCTTAAATTGTAAGTAAAAATTGGTGATTAAGTAGAGAATGTGCTGCAAGTTGCAGCCTGCAACTAATGAAGTTATTATTCTTGGTAGATAAGATAAGCAAATGAGAGAACGACGGATGTTGCATTAGTCGCCGGAGATGGGGTGACCTATTACGAAGGTTTCGCCCTGCCACACAGCATCACGAGGGTGGATTTAGTTGGGCGAGATGTGACGAGATATCTAAGGTTGGTTTATCTCGTATTGATAAGGTTTTGATACATTTTATTCATTAACTTTGCTACTATTCTACGTAAGGAAGGAATACATAGAATAGAACATCGTCAGAGTATGAAATAGTAAGAATGATTGACAAGGTTTCGATATATTTTAATTGATTTTGATCATTTAAACCAGAGTTTGAAGATATGTAAATTGAAAAAGTATACTTATGCATGCCTTCAATATTCATACAGAATTGCTATATCGGATAACTTATATTTTGTTCATATATTTTCCTGCACAGGTTTCTTCTACGAAAGGAAGGAATCAATTTTAGGACGTCGTCAGAGTTCGAAATTGTGAGAACGATTAAGGAGCGAGAGTGTTACTTATCTGTGAATCCATCCAAGGACTTTGACCCGGATGCGGATAAGCGAATTTACAGGTTGTCAGACGGTACTCAGCTTGATGTGAGGACAATTTTGTTATAACTTCAGTAATAAGGAATTGGAATGAATGTCTATTTTGTCGACAGATTGGCCAAGCTCGCTTCCTAGCTCCGGAAGTCCTTTTTCGACCAGGTTTGATAAGAGAAGAGTGTGAAGCTATGCATGAAGTTTTGCTGTTTTCCATACAAAAGTCGGACCCGGATTTGAGGAAAATTCTCTTTCAAAACATTGTGCTATCCGGTGGCTAGACGTTATTTAAAGTAATTGCTAATTAACAAATATTCACTTTCGACAATTAGTACATAAAGTACGTAATTTATACACTGATTTCTGCTCCCCAATAACGCTTGTACTCGACCTGGATCGGTGGCTCGATATTGGCGTCGTTGGACACGCTCAAGAAAATGTGGGTTTCGAAAAGGGAATTTGAAGAAGAAGAAGGCCAACGCGTTATTCACCGAAAAACATTTTGATTTTGGATCTTTGTTTTATAAACTGTTTGTACATGTAGTTCTCTTTATTTATCATTTTAAATTGTATTGTATTGTATTGTAAACTTTATTCAACTATCAACAAATATCAGCTAATATAAGCTACTATTTAATACGTTACTTATATATTCTTACAGCAGCTAATCATTTTATACAAACAATAAAACTGTACATTATCACAATTATAAAAAGCAGCAAACATTACAAGAAAAGGAGGAATATTGGAATATCTATAAAATAAGTTAATATTTATGTTACATATTTATCCATATTGGGGTACAAAATCAATCATACATTGTTGTTGCTAGAGTATTGCGGAGGCTATCTTCACACCAACTTTGTAAATGTGATAAAGTTTACAAAGATTGATGTGAATTTCCTCATTGTAGAAAAAATAGCCAAGCCAAAGACAACAAGAAAGTGGTGGCAACCTGTTGGACATGAGGGTCATTTAGGAACTAAGTACGTGGTACAATATTTACATAATTATTAATTATCTGCGTAAATATATTCATAGGCTATCTTTATGCATATATTTACATATCCTGCTACACATAGAATAGATATCATTAGCCTCAATATTCTTCCGCCATCATCAGAACAACGAGCGACGACCAGCCGGTGAAGGGTCGGCAACCCTTCCCTTTCCCTGTCGCGTCGTCGTACTGCTCCCAAACGTAGCCCGTCTTGTGGTACTGACTGACCACGTTATTGACCACGTTCTCCCGTAACTTGTGATACTTCTCCTTCGCCAAGACGGCCCCACTTCCGCCCATTTTCGAGTAGTCATGCAGGGCTTTGAGCGTGAGGAAGTTGACGTTGATCCAGACGGGGCCTCGCCAGTAGGGCGGGTCATGCTCCGTGTTCCGCTTGTTGTACAGGGGCGCATTGGCGGCCAGGGAACGAAGCCCGTACGGGGTCCAGAGCAATTTGGGGTTATCCAACTTGTCCAGGGTGGCCGTGAAGGTGGGCGAGTCGGGTTTCAAAATCCCCAAAATCAAGGGGAACAAGCTGACGTAGCCGAACATGTTGACAAAACCGAGTTCCGGTGGTTGCACGGCGTGCCGAACCTTTTCTTGAGGTTGGACCGGACGTTGCCCGCTTTTCGGGGGAATGACGGGTGCTTGTTTTAGTACGACTTTATCTGAATGGTTTCCATAATCGGTATAAGCTCCGAGTTTCGGTGACCAGTGGAGCTTGTCGAGGAGGTCTTGATCCGTGAGCTTTTCATATGTGTAGCGAAACCGGGTGGCGTCATAGTCCAAAAGTTCGGCCAGCTCGCCCATCAGTTTAGAACAGAGAGACATCCAACAGCGGAGGTCCAAGTGGCGCTCGTCCTCGGTGGGGTGGGACGCTCGGGGGTAATCGTCCAACCCGGAGGCTAACGTTTTGGGATTGAGTTCCCGCAGGGTGGAAGCATTTCGACCTCGCCAGCTAAAAAGGAAGATGAGTGGATTAGTTACAATGATAAAATTGTAGAGGTGGCTTAAATACTTTGTCGAAATGTGTACTATTTTGAGCTCAGTTCTTCCCAGCGTTTGGATTACCGGGAATGTTACACCCACAAAAAGACGAAAATGTATGTGGAGAAGGGAGCAGTCATACGAAAATACGGGTTTTGCGAAGGAACTAACTTTTTCTCACGGTCAAAATATATACACTATTTAACGATTAAAAAAAACAGTAATTTGTCAAGGATGAAAAGTTAATTCACAGCAAAAGACAATTCGGAACATCATTCTTTCAATGTAGTTTTAAGAAATACTAAACTGATAATAATCCCAGTGCTTTATAACAATAAATCAATTAATCAATTATTTAAATTACGTTAATTACATTTCAGAACGAATCTGTATGATTGTAAAGGCGGAGGCTACATTAATCGAACTTAATAAATAACTATCTATAACCTTTAATTAACACAATTATCTAAATTCATAGCTTTTTTTAATCAATCTTACACGTAACAAAATTTGTGTAGCAATGTTGCGAATTTTGTTTAAGTAAGAACCAAAATTGTTAATCATACTTGGTTTAGTAGCCTCGTAATTTATGTTATGAATTTGAAACCAATTTGTATTAACTGATATTTGTGGACATATTAATAAAGGTTTACAATCAGTGTTGTAGTAGTTAACTACACTTTCTAGTTAACTCTAGTACTTAACTACTTACTACAACTACTATTTTGCAAAAAGTAGTTGTAGTTAAGATTCAACTGTCTACTTTGCCAAAGTAATTGATACAAAGTAGTTTAACTACTTTTTTAGATGGTGTAGTGTAGTTGACCAACAATACCCTAACTACGTTTCAAATACTTTTTAACTACCTTTCTAAATGGATCATGGAAGGAAGGGGTATCTCATTTACATTAAATTAATCTCCCAGAAGTGGGGAATTGTTTGAAGCACTTGGAATTTTGAAGTGCAAATCGACATTGTCGAATGAACCCTAGAGATTACATGGCCTGATTGAATCTAAAGTAAAAATCTGTTGTAAATAATTTCATTATTTTTTCATGATTCTAATATTTGGTTAAAAAAGTAGTTAAGAAGTAGTTGGTAGTTATTAGTTAAAATAAGATGTAGTTGAAAATGTAGTTAGAATTCAACTACATGGAATCAAAGTAGTTGTAGTTCAACTACTTTTCTGAGTAGTTGTACAACACTGGGTTTACTTGACTTGACTTAATCTCTTCACAAAACATGCATTTTCGACGGACTGTTGCCTTCTTCACGCAGATTATCATCTTTTTGTGGGTGCAACATCCCCGGAAATCCAAACACAGGGAATAATCTCAGCACAAAATACTAACAAAGCATTTAGCCCACCCTGATAAAATATAAACATATCTAACTAATCAATTCATTAACCGACCGATAAGTGAAGGGCGTCTCTCCCATCTGGGTCTTATTCAGCCACTGGTACCAGGTCGACAAGCGGGGCCACATTCGCTGCAAGGTGGCCTTATGATTGATCAGGAGCCATTCGCGGTGGCGTTGGATGAGGTCGAACACCGCCATGATGAGCGTGGGAGGATTGGCGACGTCGTTCCGTTGGACGACAAACTCCTCCGGGACTCGGGACAAGGCCTCGTCGCCAAGAATCTGTTCTCGGGGGATCCAGCCTTCCGTGTTCATCATGTCGAGCCAGTGGGAAATGATGTCGATGGAGATTTCAGGGTTCCACTTGTTGATGAGGAGGAGATGGAAGCCCTCGTCCCAGAGGAACCCGCGGGGGAAGAAGCTTCTCGAGGGGACGGCCGTGTACAGACTGGACGTCCAGTACGGCACAGGGGCAGAGTTGTAAGGCGACTGGACTTTCGAATGGCCGTGGAAGTAACCAATCCCTCCGATGAGGTTGCTAAGGGCAGCTTTGGCAAAGTGAATCGAGGTTTTATTAAAGCCTTTCTTCTCCAGGTGAAAGGTCGTCTCGAACTTGTCGGAAAATCGGTCCCTGAAAGAAGAAGGATTTAAACGAGGTTAAATTATTAGTTTGATAAGAATCGTAATAATTATGTTTATAGTGTTTCACGTGCTGATAACCACTTGCAAGAAATAACGGTAATAAAGTAGTTTATTGCAGGTAAATATTTTGATCTGCGTGAAATGCACGGCGCAAGAAACGACGCCCCACCGCTGTAAATAATTCATACGGCGCGTGGCTAGATGCATCATATTTCTTGTAGTTTCATGCACCCTGAATTACTTGACAGGGCAAGAAATGTAGCAAACCAGCAAGAAACGAAACACTGTTGAGTATTAATTTACCTGTACGATTGCAACATTTCGCTGTACATGTCCCCCGATAAAAGTTTCTTGGAAGGGACGACCCCGCTTTCAGACTCGTATACAATGTCCATACTAAAGTGACCCTTGACGTGAACCTGCAATAAGTAAAAGGTCACATTAACATTTATCTCACTGGACTAGATAAGTATGTATGTATTCGCATGACAAGTATCAAGGGTGGCCGAAAAGTATTGTTTGTTTATTAAGTTGTCGCTAATCATCCTGGACACGTTTGGCAGAGATGTTTGCATCCGAAGAGGAGAAACGCGCAGTGGATTTGGAACGTGTAAAATTTGCTGACTTTAAGGTTTCTGTATTATTAGTAATAATTTTAAAACAAACGTTCCCATTGGGAGATCGTGTCCTTCGCAAATTTCATACTAATTGCATTTGTAATGAATTGACACAAATTTGGTTAAAATTGGAGAGCATACAATGCAAAACCTCAATTTAACAAAAACGTATCTTGAAATTTCAGCAAAGTTTCTTGTACTTTTCAAGCCTCTGGGAAAAATAATTAATGATTTATAATATTTCCCGTCCGGATGACGATCACAAATTGTGATTCACAATCGAGCTTGGTTATAAAACAATAAAGTTTTTCTCATTTGCACATCCGTAATGTCCTTAAACCATAATTCTCCTCATCCTGTACTTCTGTTCTTGCAGAAAACAAAGTACGTCAATAAGTAATCGTTAGATTAATACTGCAGGAGTGGGCAATATACTTTGGTCGTAAGATACAAGCTACAAGATGAACTTACTTTCTAGGATAAGATATAAGATACATCTTGTTCAAGATACAAGATACTTTCTTAAAAATTGATTAGTCAAGAACAGGATACAAGATATGTATCTTAAGATACTTTTATATTAGATAAGATACTTTATTTTTTTTAGCCTGGTACTCATGCTCAATTAGTAATGTTTAATAATTTAAACGAAAATCTAGTTAATGCAAAATTTAAAATCATTCTGTTATCAATTAACAAATTTTGTTGCCTATGTTTAAACTTCGAAAGATTTTTAAATTTCGAGAAACTAGACCTCTACCTACCTAACATGCGTATATTTTTAAGAAGTTCATAGTATTTTTACAATATTCTCTGCTTATTCAAACTAAACCCTATATTATCTATACATTAGTTAAGCGTAGGTACACAGCATGCAATATGCAATGTATGTTTATGTATGTACGAGTACTTATATATATGAATATATGTACATATGTATGCATTGCATGTATAGGTTTGTTACTAATTAGCAAAACATAAAGTAAAAATTCACCAAACTCTGGTTACGACAAATTCATGGTAAAATTGACTGACAGTAGTAAGAAATTGACTGAATTTGACATAATTTAGAAAAAAGTATCTTGCATCTTGTCAACTATCTTAAGATACTTTTCTTCCAGGCATATCTAGATAAGATACTTACACAAGATACTATTCGATTGTCTAAAAGATATAAGATACAAGATACGTCCCTGATCAGGCGAGCAAGATACAAGACAAAGATACTATCGTTTATCTTGTATCTTGACAAAGTATTCCGTATTACAGTAATACGGAATAGATAAATGTAAGGTCATGTTATGTAGTTAAGTTAATTCTTTACTCATTATATCTTTTAGTGTTACTTGATGTAAACCAGTCATTAAATTGTACTGATCAAGGAATAACGTGAATAAATGACTATTAATCAATCAATCAGTCAGCCACCCTGCTGATTAATAAATACGCACCTGATAAACAAGAAAGTTTTGAGGGTTCGAGTCTGGCTGATTCCTATTTTTGAGGAAGAACAACCACTGCTTTTCGGAAACCGAGGTGGTCGCCATGCTCGAGAGCACGGTGTTTGAAGCGGCAGTCATGGAATCCAGACTTGTTTGGATAAATGAAGACTTTAAAACGTTATTGTTGTTGATGAACCTGTACAAAAAATGAGGATTTAATATAGATAAGTCATAGTTGTTATCATGTTTGTTTAAAAAGTGGGAATTACTTTATCGTGAACTTTCCCAACTCGGGCGTGTAACCTTCGACGGATTTGAGAATGTCGCCGTAATATTCGGGAACGAGATTCCCACCCATGCCGGCTTCCAAAGCGACGTAGTAGAGGAGCACGACTTCCTCCTTCGTGGTCGACTGGGGATGATTTGTAGTCGCCTAATAGACAGAAGATTGGTTAATTCGTCATCGGAATAATGATACATACACGAATGAAATATATAACTAATTCATTTAATTAATTAACGTAGGACTCGATAATTCATCGTTAAAGACAGCAAATATTTAATATTTCTCCAATGTATTTTGAAATTCTGAATGATGTACTTGTTGAGCAGACCTTTCCCAATTAAAAAAAAATAAACTATAAATTTCGACACTTTTTGAAGGAGACCTCAACTTTAAGAAGCCTTCAGATAAATTGGACCTCATCGAAACTGGCTTAAAAACTCAGCACCATTCAATTAATCAACTCACTGACTACAAATTTGTCGTCCAGAGTTTTAAAATAAGTTCCCAGAGCGGGGAAATGATTAAAAATGTGTTGATTTTGACGATGAGTCGTCAATTCCTACATTAAAATTTCCATTTAATACATATGTAAGTAGGTATTTACTTTGTTTTGACAATGAGTTATCGAATTCTACGTTAACTAGTCAATATTTAAAAACTTCTGATTTTTACCAGAGGTTGAACTTCGATTCGTGACGTCCAATCGCCACCTTTCTTCCCGTGATGAGCTTTAACGAAAGACGTTGTCAATTTCATGTGATGATCAATGATTTCCTGAACCCCAAAGTTTACGCCGTCATGCTCAACCCAGCCGTACTTCGTTAGGCCGTCACCTTGTTCGCACAAGTGCCTAAAATTAGAAGGAAATTACGTGTTTATAAAACGGAATTGAATTTGCATTGTTGTGGATAAAGTGAAATTACCGTAAGTTGGGTTCTCCTGGCCTGACTAGAGAAGGGAGGAGCCACATGAACCCAGTGAGCAAGGACTTTGGACTTCGATGCTTCATCCCAAAGTAGACGCCGGGTCGATAAGACCCCCAAAACCGTTCGGGAATATCAAGCCCTGCACGGACGACTACCTGCGAAAAGTAGCGAGTACCAAAATCAAGTGAGAGTATAGATACAAAATTAGTACTTTCTGTAGAGACGTAAATATTTACTTTAATAATTACTTAATTATTAATATTGAATCAACAATGCACGTCAACCTTCGTAGGCTCGTAATCAAGTAAGTTTACGAAGTTCAGCGACACAGACCTTTTATCTTCGAAAGCTTTTGTAAGTTCGTAATAAGCAAAAATTACCTTCCAGATGTTTATAAGTTTCGTATAAAGTTTGTAAGTTTCGTAAGTTTACGTAATTGCGAAGGCTGACGTGAAATGCCTCATTATTTAGTTAATTATTTAAGCAATTATATTATAGGGAATTAGTTTTGTTGTGTCATGGATTGAATAGCAGTTTGTAATTAACTAATACTTATCGATACACTTGAATTAAGAACAACAAACGAACATTGAAACGAACGAATACCTTATCTACTTGCAGAGGAGTTGAAATTCTAGTCTCTAAATATCCAAGATAACCATAATACGCTACAAATGCTACAATTGTGCTTATCCCACAGGTGGAAAGTAGTCTGCAAAACAAAAATACATAATCACATTAAAACCTGAAAACATTCCATCAAAACAAACACGTTTCTTCTCACTTGTTAAACGTGAACGATTTCTGGCGTCCGGTAGCACCGCCGTGATGATTTCGATACCCGGGTTTCCGCAGGTTGACCCTGTTCACGGAAGGTATCCCGGTTTTCCCTTCGCTCCCACTGTGCCCGTTGGACGACGTTAAGTCATCCTCCTCGGCGTCGGAGAGCTTCCGTTTCTGTTGACGTTTTGCCCCCGTGGACATTGTACTTTTGGCTGCCGGACCGGTTCCTGCCGCTTGCTGGTGACCTTTCCCCCCTTGAACTTGTCCGCGATACCGTGCCATTCCTGTCCTTGACCTTGAAGACAATTGATGAAGAATTGTCAGCCAGAACGGCTGACCTGACCAGATTTCACCTCAGCTTTTCCGCATCCAATCCAGCCATCCGGCAGTCTACGTATTAAATAAATGTACAATTAAACTCAACAATCAAATAATTAATCAAGTCGGTTTAGTCAATTAATCACAATTTACCACTTCTTTCTTCAGTCAGTTAGCTGAACTAAATTGTAACACCTGCGGATATTAAGAACCGACAAATTATTAGTTATTTATCAGTTATTAATTATTCTTCTTATCGAAACAGTTTGGCACCGCACCAGTTAATTAACTATAAAACTGGACATATTGTGTCAATCTGACGATGATGATGCTGTCAAGTCAAGTCAAGATCCAATCCACGTGTAAATTGGTGGACCATCACACAGCATCACCACCGAACATTAACCACCAACCACTGCTAATGGTTTACTAAATGTTGTTATTATTGTCAATAATCGTTAACTAACAAGTTTTATTACCAGATAAGTAACGTCGAGCCGGTGGTGGTGGTGGTGAATTGCAGCACAAACAAACTAGTCAATAATACCACCGCTACGGAATGCAGCGAAGATAAGGACAAAGTTACTACTATGATAAGTCACTTATCATCATCCTCCCACCATCACGGGAACGAAACAAATGTCATAAATAAACCGAGTAGACAGGATTTGAACTGGGCTCGGAAAGATGGAACATTTTTTCTCAAAAAACCCGACCATCGTCTTCTATTTTATGTGGTTTTGAAGTGATTTCGCTCGGCGGATGTTCGTCGTCAGCTGAAGAAAAAGTGGGTTTTATGTTACCCACTTCCACCACCACCACTACCCGCCCACCCCGACAACAAAACCACACCCCACCCACCTGGTGCTCATCAATTGCTAAGTCGTAAAACCAAACCACCACGTGCTGCTGTTTTGGATGGATTGGTGGATTGGATAAGTACGTAATTTGTGGTGAGTTTTTTTATTTTTAGAATTGTTAGTATTCAGGTTATCATCTAATGGTATACTCTAGTTATTAGAGGGTTATCTTCTTCCGGGGAAGAGTGATTTGTGACGATTTGTTCAAGAGCTGCGTTATTTCGTAATAAAGGGATGTCAAGGTCAACCTGTTAGAAGAGGGGGATTAACTAACGTGATGTGTGGTTCGTGTTAAGGGGAATTTTTGTTAATTAGGTAGGTTATCATTTCATTTGTGTTATGTTCAAATCGATGAAGAGTGATATCTTCTTCCGGTGAAATGTTTAATGAATTGTGGTGACGATTTACATATACTTTGAAAAACTATATGCCAACCTGTTAAATGAGGGGGTGTGGTTGACCCCTTGATATGTAGTGTTAAGGGGAATTTTGTATTAATTAGGTAGGTTATCGTTTCATTTGTATTTCACATGTGTTTAGATAACTGAATAGTTTTGAGAGAGCTTTCTTCCTATGAAATATCGTATATACTGTAACGATTCGTTCGAAAACTGCGTTATACACTGTATGCCAACCTGTTAAATGAGGAGGGGGAGGGGGGGTTGACCTAGACATTTGACCTTTGACATGTCGTAGTGTTAAGGGGAATTAAGGTATCATTTCATTCTTATTTGCTATGTACTCTGATTGAATCTTTTTCAGAGGAGGCTCTTTTCTGGTGAAATTTCGAATAAATTGTGACGATTTGCACTTCGAAAACTGTATGCCAACCTATTAAATAAGGGGGTTGACCTTGACACCCCCTTGACATGTAGTGTTAAGGTGAATTAAGATATCATTATTTCATATTAACTCTCTTCCAATCGTTGCAAATAGTTTTGAGATAAGGCTCTCTTCAAAAGATCAAATAAATTGTTACGATTTGTTCGAAAGCTGCATTATTTCGCAAGGGATATCAACCTGTTCTGGATCGATCCCTTTGATTCAATCCGTTTTCTTCCCCCTGAACAAGAACAAAACGGGGTGACGTACATAACGATTCGTCTCGGCATGTTCATTCGTTTCGGAAACTGTTAATTGAGCTCAAATTCATCAGTTTTTTCCTATCTAATAAGGTTGATGATGTGATTAGTTAACTAATAAGATAACTTATCTTTATCATTTTACTACTACTGATGTACATTATCTTAGAGTGGAAAAGGAAGTTATATCTAAGTAGTCGCAGTTAGTTACTAAAAAGCTTAAGATAAGTAATTCACTTCACTTAACTTTACTAATGAAGACTTATCTTCCCCTTCTTTTTACAGAGGAGTTATCGATCGAATCCTCTCATCGGATGTGACTCATTCTCAACAAGAAGAAGACGCAAGGTCATCTTTTTCATGAAAGAAAATGACGCTGTCTCCTCTTTTTGTTCGATGCTGAGATGCATGCATATCGTTAAGAAAAACAGGTATTTTTTCCCCTACATATATTTTGGTCATTCATTTCATTGTTGTCCATGCAGCTCGAAAACCAGTGGCCGCGGAAGTTACGGGGGGACAATGTCCCCACGGTCGGCATCATCTTGTACAAACTCGGCCCTTCCCCTATTATCCTACAATATTAATGTCGTCCCCACACCTTCCGCGGCCACTGTCCAGCTCGTCATCATCTTCACTAACTAACTATCTAGTGCACGCACGTGAACGTAATTATGTACACGTAGAAAAATGCAATCATTATTAATGACTTGGTTTTCTATTTGCAGAAATGTTGCTACATATTCCACAAGTTTACGTTTTTCTCGGACACAATCAAAATAGTTATGAATGTCGGAATGAAGAATGAAATGAATACATGGGTTCAGCAACATTCAGACTTTTCTTCTTCTTAAACTAGACGACGGAGTTTCTTTCCTTTTTTTTCTGGAATCCCCATCGGATTGACTGACCAGACCAGACGGCGATTGTATTATTATTATTTTATACATACTTCCTCCCACTGAACTGAATAGATCATCTCTCATTCATCCGTCATGGGAAGTGCTCAGAGTCATGGTGGTAAGTAAAACGTCTCTTTCTCTCTCTCTGATTTTTTTTGTATTTCGGTGGAAAAAGAGATACAATTACGTATGTACATGTGCCGACAGACAATGGGAATGAGAATAAGAAAGATGTATATTTTTGTAGTTTGGGGAATAATGGTGGTGGTGGGTGTGAAATTCCAAAATTAATTGGGACCATGGGCAGGTAGATGAGTAACAAAGAGAGTTGGAAGAAATGGAAATGTGGAATTTTTTGGGGTTTGAATGAGACAGGAATGTCTCTTTTTTAGGGGAGAAGATCGTGTTTTTATGGAAGGAAGGATTGGCACGATGCGAATAATTAAGATCGTTTAAGGAACAGTGGCGGGGACAAGGGGGACAATAGATGTTAGTAATATCTTATCCATTTCAAAATCTTGATACGTTATTATTTATTGGTCCGCGTTATTATCGTTCTGCGGACAATGCCTGACTTGCAAGAGACAGGCAAGGTTTAGAGAACAGGGGGGAACATTGGGGACAATAATGTCCATAAATTGTTGCAATGAACTTCATGAAACGTTATTATTTTTCCGGTTTTATCATTCTACGGACCACACTTGACTTACTAGTATCGTGATAAGGTTTAGTGGGAACACGGGGACAATAATGTCCATAAAAATCCTTCCAATTCTACTTAAAATCAATCTAGACACGTTACTATTGTCCCCGATTTATCGTTCCGCAGACTATGTCAGTAGTAGTGACGCGATGATGATGGTTACTTACACTTAGTTATTAGTGTTTTACAAGATTAGTTGATTATAAGACACGATTTTTGGGTGGAAAATATCCTCCGCAAGAAAGAGAAAAAGAGGGGATGAGACGTACATACGTAGGTTAGGTAAAAAGAGGATAAAAAGCGAATTATAATATTCTATCTTCCATAAATCCTCTTCCGTTGGCTGGCCGCAACTAATAAGGATGGATGAGTAGTAAGCAGCTAAGTAGTGAAGCAGTTATTTTTTGAAGGTACATGAGCAGCACGAATTTTTATGTCCTTCTTCTTCTTCTTCTCGGTTTCATGGTTTCTGCTCATCCTTAAATAAAAGCTAAATCTGTGAGTTTATAAGATAGGCCGGATTGTTCATATGTATGCACGTTGTTTTATACTCTGCAGGATGGGGATTTACACGCGGATAAATTTTCCATCCATGTAAAAGAAAGAAAGGAGCAGGAAAATAAAGGGATGATGATGACGACGACGATGTAATGAAACCGCAGAAGGATTCCGATTTTTATAAGTTTGAGCAGTGTCTTTGGGAAATTTATTCTCGATTTCTGAATGTGTAAAGTTTTTGGAAGCATATATTTTAATGAAAAAGGTTTATCTGAATTTGAACGAGGTTGAGTTTTGGAAGTAATTAATTAATTAATGCAAACTAGCGTATAGCCCGGCCAAGGCCGGGTTCTAGGGTTCCAGTGGGGGGTGTGTCCAAAGCGAAAAATTCGTCATACTATACTTTAAATAATTTCCACTGGAGACTTTGTCATACCACATGCATACATCAGAGTGAGGGTTTGCCCAAGTCATGCTGCATTTTAATTAATCTGGTCACAGTACAATTTGATTTCCCCCCGTGGGAGTAGTTGAATAGCTAATTACTTAAATTCTCGTCGCGTGGGAGTAACTGCATAGCTAACTATTTAAATTCCCACGCTTCACGCTCCCGTTAAGTTCCATAAACCCCATTAACTTCTACAATTAACGCCAAGCTATTGACGGATTCGGATTCAGCGTCAAAAATACATTCAAATTGATATGCGACATCACGAATAAGCCATATTTACCCCCACGGTCACGGGAAGGTCACGCGGGCCTCGGAGGTCAAAACCATTAACGGCGTTGGATTTAGCGTCAAAAATACATTCGAATTGATATTCCAGTCGTTGCAGGTGGAGTGTCTCAAACTAAAATAATTAATTAATAGTGTTTATCAAGATCACTTATCATGATAACCACTATTGATGAGTGATGTGAGCACACTCAATTTTAAATTGAGTGTGCAAGTAATACTTGCACACTGTGTTTATATATTAAAACACTAGCGTATAGCCCGGCCAAGGCCGGGTTCTAGAGTTCCAGTGGGGGTGTGCCCAAAGCGAAAAATCGTCATGCTATACTTTAAATAATTCCCAGTGGAGACTTCGTCGTACTACATACATACATCAGAGTGAGGGTTTGCCCCAGTCATACTGCATTTTAATTAACCTGGTCACAGTACAATTTGATTTCCCCCTGTGGGAGTAGTTGAATAGCTAATTACTTAAATTCCCGTCGTGTGGGAGTAACTGCATAGCTAACTATTTATATTCCCGCGCTTCACGCTCCGTTCAGTTCCATAAACCCCAACTTCTATAATTAACGTCAAACTATTGACGGATTCGGATTCAGCGTCAAAAATACATTCGAATTGATATGCGACATCACGGATAAGCCATATTTGGCTGCCACGGTCACGGGAAGGTCACGGGGGCCTCGGAGGTCAAAACCATTAATGGCGTTGGATTCAGCGTCAAAAATACATTCGAATTGATATGCGACATCACGAATAAGCCATATTTGGCTGTCACGGTCACGGGAAGGTCACGGGGGCCTCGGAGGTCAAAACCATTAATGGCGTTGGATTCAGCGTCAAAAATACA